TCATTCTCTGTAATGTGCTTGTGTAGTATTAACAGGAGAGACTATGTGATGGCAGGGTTTACTGTTTTCAGGAGGATTTTTGCTAAGACTTCAGAGATGGTGCATTAGAAACAGCTATTAGTGAAGATTCAAGGCACTTGCGTCTGTGGAAATTAGTTTCTTTGATCACTAGTTGGGCGTCCCTGAACTTCACGAGATGATTGGTGGAATTTCGGTGTTGTATACAGGCGTTGTTCAAGTTATCGTTCCTACATGCATAAATGTGTTCATTGAGGCGGGTGTCGAGGTTTCTTGCCGTTTCACCTGCATAAATCTTGTCGCAGCCTCCACAGGGTACAGTGTAGACCCCTGCGTTGACTGGTTCGTGGTGCTTGACTTTTGTTCTGGTTAGATCCTTTATCGAAGTCCTGGAAGCAATGGCGACTCTGGTGTTAGCTTGTGAAAGTACTTTAGAAACGTTCAGTGCAACCTGGCTGTTGGGAAGAATTATAACTTTGTTGGGAGTGGTGTTGGTGCGTGGAGAATTAATGATCTGAAGGGCTCTTTTCTTGCAGTCTTTGATGAAAAAGGAAGGAAAATGTAAATTTGTGAAGGTCCAAGGTCCTAGCCTCTATCGCCCCACTGGGAAGACTGTTCCACGCATCTACAACTCTGTTAGAAAACCAGTACTTACCTATGTCCTTTCTAAATCTAAATTTATCCAACTTAAATCCATTATTTCTGGTTTTTACCTGGTTCGACACCCTCAGTACTTTATTAATATCTCCCTTGTTTATGTCAGTCATCCACTTATACACTTCAATGATATCTCCCCTCATTCTACGCCTCTCCAGAGAGTGGAGATTTAAGGCTTTAAGTCTATCTTCATACGGGAGGTTCCTTACACAGTAAATCATTTTAGTCATTCTTCTCTATATGTTCTCTAATGAGTCTATATCCATCCTGTAGCAAGGGGACCAAAACTGAGCAGCATAACCTAAATGAGGCCTCACTAGTGATGTATAGAGCTGTAAAATAACTTTTGGACTTCTGTTACTTATACTTCTTGAGATAAATCCAAGTAATCTGTTGGCCTTGTTGCGCACACTAAGGCACTGCTGTCTTGGCTTTAGATTTTTGATCACCATGACTCCCAAGTCCTTTTCACATTCTGTATGATCAAGCTCTATTTCACCTAGATTATAGCTTCGAGGGTTATTTTCATCACCAAGGGCAAGTACCTTACACTTATTGACATTGAACTTCATCTGCCATTTTGTAGACCAAGACATTAATTTGTCCAAATCCTCCTGGAGTTCATTGCTATCCTCAGAGTGAATTATACGGCCTATCTTTGTATCATCAGCAAACTTACTCGTGTCACTCGTAATCCCTTCATCAAGGTCGTTAATGTAAATAATGAACAAGAGAGGGCCTAAAACTGATCCTTGTGGAACTCCACTAGTGACTAATCACCATTTAGATTTTACTCCATTAATGGTAACTCTGCTTTCTATTGATAAGCCATGCCTCTATCCATGCTAGAACTTTACCTCCTATACCATGAGCTGCCACTTTTCTTAAGTCTCTTGTGAGGTACTCTATCGAAGGCTTTACTAAAATCCAAATAAACAATATCATATTCCTTATCGCTGTCAACTGCCTCAAATGTTCTATTGAAGAACGTCAGTAAGTCTGTCAACTGCCTCAAATGTTCTATTGAAGAACGTCAGTAAGTCTGTCAGGCAGGAACGACCTCTCGTGAATCCATGCTGAGATTCATTTATCAAGTTATGCTCTTCAAGGTGACTTCTAATAATGTCAGCTATAATTGATTCTAATAACTTGCCCACTATAGATGTCAGGCTTATTGGACGGTAATTTGAAGGAACGGACTTATCCCCTGATTTAAATATAGGAACCACATTAGCCATCTTCCACAACTCTGGCACAACACCGGTAAGGATGGACGCATTAAATACACTCGTTAATGGCTGACTAAGCTCCATCTTGCATTCCTTAAGTACCCTGGAAAACAACTCATCGGGTCCTGGGGACTTATTTTGCTTCAGTTTGTCTATCTGTTTAATAACCATGTCCATCGTGACAGTAATATTAGTTAATTTAAATTCATCCTGAACTAAATAATTGTTAATTACTGGAATCTCATTTACATCTTCCTGTGTAAAAACTGACAAAAAATAGTCATTAAATAAGGAACACATTTCCAGTTCGTTATCCGTCAGCTGTCCATTCCCAATTTTCAGAGGTCCTACTTTTTCCTTCACCTTCGTCCTATACACTTGAAAGAAGCCCTTTGGATTAGTCTGATTCACTAGCAACTCTTAATTTCATAGTCACGTTTAGCCTTTCTAATCCCCTTTTTTACTACTATTTTAAGCTGAACATATTGGTCAGTAAGGTTAACCTCTCCTCTTCTGATGCGCCTATAAATTCCCCTTTTCTCCCCTAATAGATGCTTTAACCTACTGTTAACCCATTTGGGATCGTTATTATTGGACCTGATTTCTCTCTGGGGAATGTATATACTCTGGGCATGGTGTGCTTTATTAAGAAAAAAATCTTAAATGCAGATCCCTACATAATCATAAGTATGATCATCGCCAATAAAATCATTAGCTAGATAACCCCAATCAAGATTAGACAGATGTTCCCTAAGTCCATTATAATCGGCAGAACGAAAATCAGGGATTTTTACTGTATTATCATTATTCTTGTATTCCCAGTTAATGCTAAAAGTGATGGATTTGTGATCACTTGCGCCAAGCTCTTCAGTGATCTCCAGATTATTTACGAGTGTTTCCTTATTTGACAAGACTAGGTCTAGCAAATTATTACCCCTGGTAGGCTCTGTTACGCACTGCTTCAGAAAACAGTCCTGAACTGTTTCCATAAAGTCACTGGACTCAATATTACCTGTCAAAGAATTCCAGTCGATTTGACTAAAGTTAAAATCCACCTACTATCACTATGTTATTGTGTCTAGAAGCCCTAACTATTTCGTCCCAAAGAAGTCTCCCTCTATCGTGATCCAAGCCTGGAGGTCGGTATATTACACCAAGAATTAGCTTTTCTTGACCCTCTACAAACTCTACCCAAACAGATTCTGTTACTGTTCCATCTGTTTTTATACCTGTTTTTATGCAACAATTAATATTTTCTCGAACATATAATGCAACTCCTCCCCCCCTTCCCATTACACCTATCCACATGAATATTACACTCAGCAATCATATCACGACTCTTTAAATCATACCAAGTTTCAGTTAATGCAATGATATCAAAGTTCCCAGCACATGCTACCAAACGTAGTTCATTAATTTTATTTCTGGCACTTCGACTGTTAGCATAAAATACCATATGTTTTTTCTTCTGCACAATTTTCCTATTCATCTTTGTTTTTACACAATTTCTGAAATTATCATTACCCAGAGTTGCTCCATGACAGTTACTATTAAGATTCTTAATATCAGAGCGTAAGTCAATATATCCATACTCATTATTTATCATTTCTAAACCCATACCTCTAACTAATCCTAGTTTAAAGTCCTAACAACCCCCTCAACTGAGCTAGCAAGAAAACCCACACCTGCCCTGGATAAGTGAACCCCATCCCTAGCATACATGTCATTTCGGCCATAGAAGTTGTCCCAGTTGTCAATGAATGGTACTGCATTATCCTTAGTGTTTATCCAGCCAACAATTAATACCAATTGTTCTGGACAACCATTCATTACCAACACCACCTCTTGGTGGTGTTGGTGGGGCGCCCCCCCTTCTTCCTAATTATGTCTATAGCTGTCCTGAACTTTCTAACTAAATCCTCACTTCTACGCTTGCCTACATCATTGCCTCCAGCACTGAGGCAAATAATAGGATTGATCCCATTACCATTCATGTTGTTGTCAAGCCGGCTAACAATGTCCTCCATCCCAGCCCCAGGAAAGCAAACCCTCTGTCTCCTACTCCTGTCCTTCAAGCAGAATGCCCTATCCATGTATTTAACCTGGCTATCCCCAACAACAACAATATTCTTACCTTTCTCGGTGTCGTCCGTCGTGACGTTTCCAGTAGTCGACTCACATTCGTCGGGTAGCACAGAGAATGCATTAGATGTTTCCACAACAGTTTCCACAGCAGTCTCTTCATCGTTTCTGTCTTTCCATTCTTCTTGATCATCAACTTCGTTCCATGCTGTCCAGCCACTGTCCAGGTTCCCTTCTTAACCTGAGGACTCAAAACTGGAGGACTACTACGAATCCTCTTGTTTTCCTCGGTCAGTCGCCGAATCTCCATCTTCGCTACTCTCAATTCTTCCTTAAGCTGCTGGTAAAGTTGCTCGATGGAGGGCATCTTGGTTCAGTCCACGGAGAGCACACAAGTCACTTCTTCACAGAGTTAAGTACATGTCACCACTGGGTTAAGTACAGGTCAGTGATGACCTGTACTTAACCCAGTTGGGCAAATACACGAGTGAGAGGGGTTGGATTTGAGTGGGACTTGCACATGGGTATATAGATTTATCAAAGCTTACTGCCTGGGTAGCGTTGAAAATGGGTTGGGCAAATATTCTGTTAGTGGGATGGATTGTAAAGGACCTGCCTAGTATGGGCCAACAGGCCTGCTGCAGTGTTCCTTCTTTCTTATGTTCTTATGCACACGAGTCTAAATACATCAGTTAGGGTAAGCAGACATTTTGGACCAGGGCAAACAGCACAGTGGGAATCCTAGATCCAACCAATGTTCAAAAGGAAGGTATTGCACAATGAGGGGAAACTAATACACGATACTAGATGCACTGTATATGTCGCATGCTAAAACTGATTGCATGAACGAGCCTCGGAATCTTGCTGAACTAGGCTCAAACCTCCCGGAACGAGACAAACCCGATGCATGCTTAGCACTACTGCTTTAATGGTACAAGTTTTTATGGCAGCCTATTCTCTGGTCACACACGGAAGGTACAAGACACCAAAGAATTGTGAGGGGGAGATACTCACCCTCTCATCTTTGATGGGTCTGCGCCCGCCCATCCTCCGGCCAGGTTGTTGTATCTGTGAAGGCATGGCGAGAGTGGCCCCCGAGGACGTGTTGTGGGAATGTGACGCCCGGCTCTGTCCCCCACCAGAGGACGAAGACGATGAAGATGACGACGACGAGGACGTGTGGGGGACCTGCGTCAGGGTGCCTCCACCCCAACACTTGCTGTCCACGGAGATGAACGTGTTGCCTGTGAACATAACGTCAGGGTCTGTGAACATCACATCAGGGCCAGTCAACATAACGTCAGGGCCTGTGAACATAACGTCAGGGCCTGTGAACTTTAAACATACCATCAGGGTCTACGGTCAAAATGTCATGTTAGGTAAAGGACACCTGTCATGTTAGGTAAAGGACACTAAGTGCAACTAATGTAACATTTTATTGTGGCAACGTTTCGTTCTCCAGGAGCTTTGTAACGGCTTGAAAAAGCTCCTGGAGAGCGAAACGTTGCCACAATAAAATGTCACATTAGTTGCACTTAACATAAGAATGGAGGAACACTGCAAAAGGCCTACTGGCCCATGCAAGGCAGGTCCTTTTACCTAATATATTGTCAGTAATTCTACCAACATTAATACAGGATCTGCCACAGTGTTGTGCTCAAGCCTGTTAATAATAATAATAATAATAACAATAATAATATTTCTACAAGTACATGTACAAGGTATACAGGTCTAGCTGACATCAATGACATACTACTATATAGAAAGCCGCTTGTTATAAAAACATTTCAAGCAAATTAGGTCAGTTTTTGTCCCAGAATGCGACCCACACCAGTCGACTAACACCCAGGTACCTATTTTACTGATGGGTGAACATGGACAACCGGTGTAAGGAAACATGCCCTAATGTTTCCACCCTCGCAGGGAACTGAACCCGGACACTCGCTGTGTGAAGCGAGAGCTTTTGCACTAAACATATGACGGACCTCCAACGTAACAGCGTCAGCCAGACTTCACTACAAGTTACAACTATGTTAACTGTTACCATGTTAACTTTAATAACTGGCGGCAATATAATAAATTTTAAGCTTTCATTATTGTTTGGTCACCGTATATATGTCGAGTATAGGAGGAGCAGAGGAGAGGAAGAGAGGTGTTAAAACATTGTTAGGTAAAAGGGTAATGTGACATTTTATTGTGGCAACGTTTCGCTCTCCAGGAGCATTGTTAAACCATAGTAAAACATCACATTAGTTGCCCTTGTGTAACTTTATTTAGTACATTGTCGGTAATTCTACCAACATTGTTAAAATACTGCCTAAGGGAACTAAACTTTTTATAAGAAATTAAATTTATAGAATTTGTTAATGGCCTTCGGGGCAACAATGGTTATAAAATGTGGATAACATACCGTAATGTCAACAGGGTAAGAGGGGTCCCATACACGAGTGAAGTCACAGAGGGTGGACACAGGCGTGGCCATACGAGGTCTAACAAAATTTGACAGAGGGATGGACATTGAACAAGAAAGCTCAGAGGAATTGAGACACTTATGCAACACATGGGAATCTTTATTGAAGAAACGTTTCGCCACACAGTGGCTTCATCAGTCCAATACAAAGTAGAAATGGGTAAGGAGAGGAGAAGTTTGAGGTAATCAGTCCCTCAACCTGGAATCGATGTGTTCAGTCCATCACTCTTGTAGGAAGTGCAGCATAGGGCCAGAGAGGTGGCTTATATACCTTATATAACCTTTGGACGTCGACCTACTTACACTAGTGGCAGGTCCCACTGTGATCCCGCCTCCACCTGCTTCACCTCATCTCACTGCAGTATATAAGCCACCACTCAGCAACCAATGCTGCTGGCAGACACATAGCAATGCTCCTACACGATATTCCAGAGGTAAAGTTGCTAAACAATGGAGACCCCACACACCTGTTGGGTGGCTGCCTCGACCTTACCTTCGGGTCAAGACAACTCGCAGCAGGAGCCACATGGGAAACTCATCCTCACCTTGTCAGTGACCACTTTGCAGTGATCACCACCTTCAACAGGCCTCCCACAGTTGTGCTGCCTCCTAGATGGGACGTAAAGAGGGCCAACTGGAAGGTGTTCCAGGATTATCTTCATGACTGGTGGTCTACATACTCTCTATCTGAAGACTGTGATACGGCTGAACAGGAGCTAATCACTGCTCTCATCCAGGCAGCAGAGTGCGCAGTTCCAAAGAAGTCCGCAGGACGCACTCACAAAAGAGACTGGTGGTTCTACAACGACGAGGTGCGGGAGCAGAACCACCGCATCAACTCTTTTAGGAAGATATACAGGCGTAACCCTACGGGCAGAGAACAGGAATACTCAGAGCTATTGTGCAGCATGCCCGCAGTCTCTCTCAGAATAAAAACTGAGAAATGGCTGGAGTGGTGCTCAACATTCGGGCATCACACCATCTTATCCGAGATATGAGGCAAGCACAACATAGCAACTGGCAAGAGCAAGCCGAGGCCACCAGCACACCCGAACCCACCCCAGGAAGCTGAGAAACTAGTGGAGCTTTTCACTTCCAGGGGAGCCTCCACTCAGCTTCCACAGGACATCCGGAATATACAGACGGATCTTCTGCCACAGAGCCAGCTAACGATACAAGCTGCATGCGAGTAGGAAGATGTGACTGATGAAGACCTCACGGACTTGGAACTCCGACGTGCCATTAAGAACACAGGTGACACTGCCCCGGGCATCGATGGTGTTACATACTCCATGATTGCACAGGCTGGGCAGAGTGGATGGGAGGCCATACTAGACGTCATTAACAAGTCGTGGAGGGCCAGGGCACTCCCAGCAGCTTGGAAGAAAGCTACCATCGTGCCAATTCCAAAGTCCAAGGACCCAGGTAATATGAGACCCACATCGCTGACCAGCTGCTTAGCCAAGACTGCTGAGATGATGGTGTTAAACCGCCTCCTATGGAAACTTGGACCCTCTCATCACATATTTGGCTTCAAAGGAGTGGTGCATAACCACTCTACTAAGCCAGATTGCTGATAGTAACAAAAAACCTAGTATCGTCGTCTATCTCGACCTTGAAAAAGCATTTGAGCTAGCCAGCCCCACAGCAATTCTGACAATACTAGCTCGGAAGGGAATCAAAGGACGCCTCCTGGCCTGGTTAGAGTCCTACCTTAGGGGCAGGCAGGCCTGTGTCAGCTTTCAGGGACACTACTCTTCCTTTAAAACCCTGGAAAACGGTACGCCACAAGGTGGTGTGCTCAGTCCTACCCTGTTTAACATCCTTATGCAGGAACTTGTGAGCCTTTCCTTTCATAGTGATACACAGCTCCTCCGCTATTCTGATGATCTTGCACTCGTAGTGAATGGGAAAGGCAATTTAGAACGACAGGCTCAGAGCTTTGGACCTAATTACGCAGTCTTGCAAGAAACTAGGCCTCAAGATCTCGGCCGAGAAATCTCTTGCAATGATGTTCAAGGGACCAGATCCTGTGAATAGATTACGTATTCAGGATATAGAACTTGAGTGGACAGGCTTCTACCTGTACTTGGGAATCTACATTGATAAAAAGCTGACCTTTCAGAAACAGGCCGAGTATGTCAGGTCACGTGCTCTACTCAGACTCAACGCCACGAGAGCCATGACGAGGCACCGTGCAGGGGCAAGCAAAGATGTACTTCGCTTGTACTATATACAAGCTATACGCTCGCTCATTGACTACGGTGCACCGGCGTTAGCTCATCTCTTCCCGCAGAGCAGGCAAAGGGTGGAGGTCGTACAAAATCAGGCGATAAGAACCATGCTTGGTGCCCCCATCTGGACCAACACAGTATGTCTCAGATCTGAGGCCCGGCTTCCTTCCTTGGCTGACAGAGTAAGACACGTAAACGCCTGCAAATTGGCCACGATTCTGCACCGGCAGCAAGGTACCCCACTAAGGAGACGGATATTGACAACCATGACATAAGATCCCACACTCTTCACGGACTACTCCTGGATTCGTTCATTTTGTGCTGCTGGGCTGAAGCTGCTGCCTATACAACTACTCCTTGAGAAGAGTTATGACCTTCCTGTTGCTGGGTACCATCCACCACCTCCCCGGCGCCCAGATCCAGCCGATGTTTGCATCATGCAGCTACCCATCTCTAAGCGTCTCTGCAGTCAAGACACCCTCAGCAATCATGCTGAGACAAGCATGGCACTGGCAGAGGGAGGCACATGTGCAGTGTATTTCACAGATGGTTCTGTCGACCCTGACAGGAAGAGAGCAGCAGCTGGACTGTACCACAATGGTCACACACAAGGCTGGCGACTCCCTGACCACTGCACGATCCTTCAAGCTGAGCTGGTGGCGATTCAGCAGGCACTGTCACATGCCCTACACATCGACTCCGACCCTGTCATACATGTTGATTCCACCTCTGCAATCAATGCCTCTCCCATCCTCAACCACAGGACAATGTTCACCTCATCACATCGATCCTGAGCATAATGACAGCCTTAGAAGTTCAGGTAACAGATGACATGAACTGGATCCCCAGCCATGCTGGCATCCGGGGAAATGAGGCGGCAGATGATGCAGCCAAAGCAGCAACAGACTAATCCACATGTTGGGATTACTGTCCCAATCAGCCTACGACAGACCAAACTGGTGGCTGCCAGAGCCATGAAACTTATGGGGAGGTCTTAGGTGATACCCCATCTCAACAGTGGTACCGAGCAGCGACTCAGGGAGAACCCCCTTCATATGATAGAAGCTGGTCCAGAGCTGCAGTGTACCGCCATCCATCGCTTCGTTTGGGCTTTCCCACAGCCAAGATGATGGTAGACAAGGCTGAGGAGGAGATGTGCCAGTACTGTCAGCACGTTGTCCAGCGGCCCCTAACACACTATCTTCTGGAGTGCGAAGTTACTGAGACACTCCGCAGGCAACTAGGAGTGATATTCCCTCCTGAAGAGGACCCAGAGATGACTGCGGCCACACTAGTGTACCATGGAGTCAACGAACCAGACAAGCTGTTACCCGTGATAACAACATATCCTCCTCCTCGCTAGTGTCCATAGTTAGGAGTACATACGGTGTTGTCGCTTATGAGATGCACCAGCTGAACTGACCAGAAGAGTGCTTGAGCAGCATATGTCGCATCATTGTAGAAACCTTTCTCCCTCAGGAGCCAGAGACGGGTCATCGCAAGATTGTCGGTTTTTCAAACCATTATATCATCACACTGT